TAGAGCATAAGCTTTCGTGGGCTACTGCCCACTTCTTCGGATCCAGTAGCCCACGAAAGCTTATGCTCTAATAAATTTGTTAGTCTCTAAGGTGCCACAAGTACCTCTGAATATTATTGTGATTTCTGGTGTAAAATGATCATCTATCACATAGTCCATCTTGCCTGGGTGGCAAGATAAATTGGAATGCCCAAGGGGACTATCTATGACTCTGTGGTAAGATGTTATAGTGCTTCAGGAGTTCACACTTGTTACTAGGTTGGTGAAATCTAATTACACTGGTCTACAATTTTTGAGAAGTCGTCTGCTTCAGAGATAAAATGTGCTATTTATTATGTATTTTGATGTTCTGAATTCAAATATGACAATTAAAACAACTGATTGGCTACTGTTTCTAAGATATTTAAGTTTTTACATTTTCTGTCTATGTATATTGTGTAGATAGTAGAGTTTTAATCATAAATTGTAAACCTAAGTCTTTTCATGTGTTTATGGTTGCCTTACATGATAATATTTCACCTGTCCTGTTTATGTAACAGTTTAAAAATCAGCAAAGGGTTATATAAATAAAATTTACGAAACAAAAGGCAAAAAACTATTATATACAGTTTAGTCCTATTCAGTGTCCGCTCGGCGCTTCTTGGCTTGTCTCTTGTATTCGTTAAATGGAGCATCTCTTGTCACTGTCCAGCAATAGTAGTCTGCAAGCATTGATGGGCTCCATTTGCCTTGATAGCATTTCTCCATTGTTGCAATGTCCTGGTGAAATCGCTCGCCGTGCTCATCGCTCATTGCTCCGCAGTTCGGTGGAAAAAAATCTAGATGAGAGTGCAAAAAATGTATCTTTAGTGACATGTTGCAACCAAGGCTTTTGCATGCTTTGAGGAGGTTTTCCACCAACAACCTGTAGTTGTCTGCCTTGTTGTTTCCGAGAAAATTTATTGCCACTAACTGGAAGGCTTTCCATGCCGTCTTTTCCTTGCCACTCAGTGCATGGTCAAATGCATCACCTCGAAGAAGTTCACGAATCTGAGGACCAACAAAGACACCTTCCTTTATCTTAGTTTCACTTAACCTTGGAAATTTTCCAC